GGCCACCCCCCCCCCCCCCCATCTGCATTCCTTTTCCCTGCCGCTTCCTCAGGAGCCCCGTGCTCACAGGCGGCCCCAAGGCCGCAAGCCGCGCGGCGAGCAGCTGGTGCATGCATCACTCTTATTGTTCTGTGTTTGCACTCGCTGCCCCCTCGGTATGCGCCACCTGGCTTTTGCTGCCACTTGCTGCTCCATGCCATGCTGGCAGGCCTTGGCGGCACCTGGCTCGCCGACTGCCCTCTTGTTTTGTTCGACTCCAGCAAGGAGGCACGCCCCAGCAGCCCCCCACCATCTGTCCCCTCATGCCTCCTATCCCCCCCCTTTTTGCTAACAGAGCAGCCCACGAAAGACCTGATTTGCTCTCCCTGTTTGCACATCTTTGCATGCCCATTTTATTTTTTCCCTCCTGCTGTACCAGTTCGGCGGGAGGTGCGCTCTGTCGAGCAGCGCCACGCTTTTGCGCCATGAAGCAATGCCCTGCCGCTCCCACACCCTCGGCATTCTCGCCTCACAGGTGACTCCCGCCTGCCTCTGCAGCGGCCCTTGTTCCTTCTTTTCGATGCTATTCAAGCGCAGTGGCTCCGATTGTAGAGTGCGCCCTTCCCAGCTTTGCTAGCACTTGTGTGGAATCCACCTAGCTGCAACAAACAGACAGGTTCCCCGTCCATTTAACGTCTCCCATGCACAGCGCTCCCTGCTTGCCTTTCGCCGCCACTCCGCAAAAAATACCAAAAAAATTGCTGCTTCTCCTTTCCCACGTTGTTCTTTGTAATACTGTTCCCCCAGTGGGACAGGGCTACATGCTGGTGGCTCGAGGGGGAGTGGCTTGCCGAGGCGCCGGCGGCTGCGCCTGCTGCGGCGCGCTGTGGTGCATGGGGCATGCGGCCCGAAGTCTGTCTGTGTCTTGCATGTGTTGATGTGTGTGGCTTTGCGTCCTGCAGCCTGCAAGTGGCGCACAAAACGTCTTTAGCCTTCATGCACCTGCCACCACGGTTGCGGGCAAGCTTCATTCCAGATGTGGCGCTTGGGGCGGATCTTGGCCGCTGTTGCTCCTCCTGTCGCGCTTGGACAGCATCAGTGAATGCACTTGCTATGCTGCTGCCTGGTTGCAGGGCTGCAGGTCTCAGGCTGCAGGCTGTGCCTGCGGGGGCAGAGCGGGGGAAGTGGTGGCGGCAGGAATGCGGGATCGGACCCCGCGCAATTGCCATACCCTCATGTCAAACATTATGGGGAATGGCAGAGCGCTGAGCATTGACTTTCATGCCTTCTTCCTCCTTCCTTGCGGGTTCTTCGTTGTGGCCACATGGCGCCAGCGCCACCTCACCCGCCAACTCACCCACCAAGGCTGTCTGAGAGCAGATCGCGGCGGAGTCGCAAGCATCCAATCTAGTTAGAGAAATGCCCCACATGGCTGTCTAGGCAGTGTCGGGAGAGCCGCATCTGAGGCTCTCACCATGGTGCCGGGGCCGCTGCAGGGCCTGGGCCAGCTGATGTCTGATTGGTCACAGAGGCGTGAGCGCGCCGCACGGTTGCGTGCAGTGCGCGGCCTTGCGTCCCTGACGGCCTCCAGCCTCGCAGAGTGGGCGGAGACTCCCGGTGGCAGCCAGGAGTGGCGGCAGCAGTCATGGGAAGCGTGGCTGAGCAGCGCTCAGGCCTCCAGGCAGCCCCCCTCTGGCGGCCAGCCGGGCGGTGCCGTGCCATCGGCGGCGCTCACGCTGCCCTGCGCCCTGCGCCCCGCCGTGGGACCCAGGGGGCTGGATCTGCAGCTGCGGCTGTTCCAGCTGCATGTAGGGGATCCCTGGGAGGCTCAGGCGGCCGTAAAGACCCAGCAGCAGATCCCTGGCTTGCTCAAGGCGCTGGACTGCGCCGCCGGCCTGCTGGCTGCGCGCCTGCTCTTCCCTACGGCCGTGGCTCCCGTCGTGCGGCTGCTGGCGGGCGCCTACTGCGCCTCGGCTGCGGCCCAGGCAGCAGGCCTGCTGCTGCCTCCAGCGACCCGAGCGGCAGCAAGCCGCCGCCTGCGGCACGCCGGGGCGCTCAGGCCGCTGGCGGGCACTGCTTCCAGGCGCTTGCGCCAGCTGTCCAGCCTGCTCCAGCGGTACGGCGAGCCCGCCTTTGTGCTGCTGGCGGCGGCAGCGCTGTGGGCGCACCTGCACCCGTCCAGCGCACAGATCGGCGAGTGCATCGCAGGTGATGCGGCCCCTGCCCCGCACCCTACTGTCGCACCCAAGCGACTGGCTCACCATTACAGCAAGCTCTTGTCATCAATATGCTTTTCCATGCCTCCCGCCCTGCAGCCCTAATCCCAGTGCTCATGGGCTACAACCAGACGGCGCGGCACTGTGCCACGCTGGGGCTGAGCGGCAACGCGGCAGAGGAGGTGAGCCCTCGTCGCCGGCTGGCCTACTAGCGCCGGCCGCCCGGTGCTGGCTTGCCCCGCCACCCTCCTGTCCAGGCGTTGCAGTGTGGGCACGCAGCGTACTCACACCATCCAGTAGTGTGAGAGCCAGTGGCTGTGCCGCGGCTGGCATGACGTGCCGACACCCTGCTCCTCGCCCCACCGGTGTGCAGCTGTGGCGCAAGAGGCACAAGTGGGCAGCCCGCCGCACTGCAGCTCTGCTCTCCGGCCTTCCAGAGTCGGTAGGTGCAGCTGCTGCCGCCGTGCTGCTATGCTGCCCGATGCTGCTCTTATGCCACCACCTGTTTTAGCTGCGCAACGACAAGAGCTGTATCATCGCTTCATCGGCTGAAAACTATCGCCAGCAATGCTCATCATGTGCCGCCTCACCTGTCCTGGACGCAGCCGCCGCTGTCAGGGCTGGCGTCAACTTGGGAGGCCGTATCCATTTGCATTGGTGCCACCTTTGGCGGCATGCACTTTGGCAGCGTGGCTGGCGTCATTGGCGGCACAGGCGGCGGTGGGGGGCTGCAGCTGTGGGCCTCTGTTGGCCTGCGCAGCCAGCAGAGCAGGCACCAGCAGCAGGAGACGTTGGCAGTAGTGCCAGGCCATGTGGCAGCCGCCCCAGCACAGCCACTAGACAACTTGGCATGTGGGCATGGCGCCGGCCATGACAGCGAGCACAGGCAGCAGCTGCAGCCAGGTGAAGTGGCGTCGTCAGAGCAGCCGGAGCAGCAGCAGGTGGCCGATCCATCCCAGCCTGCCACTCCGGTGGTGGGGATCCTGGACAAGCCAGGCGAGCAGCAGCAGCAACGCCAGCAGGCTGACGGGGAGGCATGGCAGCACTGTGGGCCAGCTGGCGCCGTTCCGGCGGCAGTGGTAGCAGGCTCCTGCAGCCGCAGCTCTATACTAGACAGCCCTTCTGAGATGTGCGGCGGCGGTTTGCCTGTCGCGGCCTGGGGGCTGCAGGCAGAGGCGCTGCCTGCGGCATGGCAGCAGGAGCAGCAGCAGCAGCTGCAACTGGACGGCAGCGGTCGCAGCGACAGCGAGGATTTCATGCACCCCTCGCATTGGGCGGCCGCCAGGCAAGCCGCAGCGACCAGCGGCCATGCCGCCGCGGGCGCCCACAGCTCCAGCACCAGCAGCGTGGCGGGCGACAGCGGCAGCTGCCACAGCTTCCTGCTGCCTGGACGCACCTACAGCAGCAGCGAGGCGAGCAGCGAGGTGGGCCTGGAGGCCAGGCATGGAGCGCTATCCCCTGGGTCGGCCCAGCTACTGCCGCCGGGACTTGCTCAGCCTGGCGCCACAGGCAGGCAGATGCAGCAGCAGTGCCTGCCGGCAGCACCCGCCGCCGTGCTAGCATCGGCATCAGAGGCACAGGCTCAGCAGCACGAGCGCCAAGCGCCAGGCTCCCCAGCTGCGGTGGCGCCTGTGGCTGCTGGCGAAGGCGTGCTGCAGGCCTCGCCGCCCCTTCCGCTGTACGGCCGAGGCGACCATGCTGCTGAGGATGGGCGCACGTTGACCCTGGCCGAGCGGCTGCGGCTGGTGGCACGGGCGGCCAAGCTGCTGGCTGTGTTCTCTCCCTTCCTGCTGCTGGGGACCACCATGCTGCTGCTGGCGTCACGCCTGGATGCAGCGGCAGCCCGCCGGCAGCACCGCGGGCAGCCGCAACCAGCCGGCGAGCTCGGGGGAGCAGCGGCGGCGGACGGCGAGGCTGGTGCCTTGCCAACGGCGAGCCGCCTGCGCACCGGCGCCTTCAAGCTGCTGCTGGGGGCCTGCCGGCGCAGGTCTGGCGCCCGCCTCTTGCTGCTGGCTGCGGGGCCGCATGCTAAGCAGAATTGAACTTTGCCAGTTGACTGGGAACGATGGCCTCCCCTTGCCCTGCTTTGCCCCACTCCCATCCCACCCAACACACACACACCACAGCCACCCCACCAACACACCACAGCTACCCCTCCCATGCCCCGCAGCGGCCCGGCGTTCATCAAGTGGGGCCAGTGGGCGTCCACCCGCGAAGACATCTTCCCTCCAGCCTTCTGCGCCGTGCTGTCGGAGCTGCACGACCGGGCGCCCACGCACCCGGCGGAGCAGGTGCGGCAGCAGGCAGCGCCTCGGGCGGCGGCGCGGATCGTCTGGCAGGCCGGCTAGGTGGCTCGGCCGTCTGCACCTGCAAGGGGGGCCTGCCAGGCTCGCTCGCCTGCAGGCTGCCGCCGTGCCCGGCTCCGATAGCAGCCACACCTCTCCGTGCGCCTGCTGCAGACACGGCGCACCGTGGAGGCGGCGTTTGGGCGCCCGCTGGACAGCCTGTTTGTGTCGTTTGAGCCGCAGCCGCTGGCCTCCGGCAGCATTGCGCAGGTGGGGCTGAGGGGGCGGGCCGCCGCCCTCCTTGCCTCGCTTGCCTCGCCCTCCTCTGCCTACACCGACGAGCATCAGCTCGCGTGCAGCCTGCTCAAGTGGCAGCCGGGCAGGCAATGGAGTGTGATTGTGGCCGGCAGCGCGTGCCTGCTCCCTCTGCTGCTAACCTCGGTCCGGTCCGCGCCGCCTCCCTGCAGGTGCACCGCGCCCGCATGCTGGTGGATGGACGGGTGCAGCAGGTGGCGGTCAAGGTGGGCCCCTCACCCGCCCTGGTGCTGCCGCACCGCCGTCAGTCGGCTGGAGCTGTAACTTGCCGGGAGGCACACATCTGTGCCGCGGGATTGCTGATGCAGAGCAGCAGCGCTTTGCTCTCTGCATCAGCGCGAATGCCGTGAATTGAACTCGCAGCATGCCTGGTTGTGTGTGGCGTTGTTTTGCAGGTGCGCCACCCGGGCGTGGCCAGCTGCATCTGGATGGACTTCCAGCTCCTGCGCCCGCTGGCGGCCCTGACGGCACGCGTCAGGAGCCTGAGGGTGGGTGGCCGGCCGGCCCACCGCGGCTGCATGGCTGGCCGGAGCCCTCCACGGCTGGCAGGCGTGCCCTTTGGGCTGCCACCATACCGGCGGCTGCGTCCCTCGTCTCCTCCCAGCCCCGCAGTCAGGCAAACCGCCCCTCCGCCCTGCCACCGCACCCCTCCCCCTGCAGAGCCTCAACCTGAGCGACTCGGTGTCCCAGTTCAGCCACACCATGACGGCTCAGGCCGACCTGCGCGTGGAGGCGGAGCACTTGCGCCGCTTCTACAACAACTTCCGACACGTGACCAGCAGCGTGCATGTCCCGCAGCCCATCGATGGTGAGAGCACAGCTGCTGCTGGGCCTGCCTTCAGCCTTCTGTGGCCCCACCCGCCACATCAACAACATTGTATAACCGCGCTGTCGCCCTGCGTGCCTGCCCGCCCCTGGTGGCGCAGGCTACTGCACCGAGGAGGTGCTGGTGGAGAGCTACGAGGCGGGGGCGTCGGTGGCGGCCTTCATCCACAACCCGCACCCCCAGAACACCCAGATTGTGGCGCTGGGGGTGGACACCTACCTCAAGATGCTGCTCCAGGACAACTTTGTGTGAGCCGCAGGGCCGGCGCTCCGGCGCGACTCTTCTGGGAGACCCTGCGGGCCGCTGCCATCGCACCTGGTCAGCGTCCCACTCACCGGTCGTCCTCCCGTCGCCTCCCTACCCTCGCGCAGGCACACTGACCTGCATCCCGGAAACATCCTGGTCCGTCCTGCGGCCAACGGCGGCGGCGTTGGCCGGGCAGGCGGGGCACACCTAGCGGTGAGCATTCGCCCGCCTGGGCCGCTTGATACTGAGCATAGGTTGCCTGTTTGGGCTTGATGTTGCGCCATTGGCGGGCACAGACCAGGCACTGGGCCGCCATCAGAGTGCTGACGGGTTGGTTGCCAGGCATCTGGATGTGTGCAGGAGGGCGGCGAGCCAGAGGGCGGCTCCAGCAGCTGGAAGCGGCTGGAGCTGGTGCTGCTGGACTTTGGGCTGGCGGAGGAGCTGACGCCCGCCGTGCGCCACCACTTCATCTCCTTCCTCCACATGATTGCCAAAGGTGCGCCGCGTAGCGGGCACCAACACTGTGTGCATTCACCGCTGCTGCTCCTGGCTGTGGTGGCACATGCCACATGCGGCTGCGCTCGCTCTGCTGCATCGGTTTCCACACCTGAGTGTGGCTGAGTCAGCGTGGCCGCCACTCGGTGCAGGCGACGGGCGGCGCGCAGCCGAGCACCTGCTGCAGTGGTCCGCCAACCAGCGGTGCCCCGACCGCGACGCCCTCACGGCAGGTGCGTCATGCTGGCAGGGCAGGCGGCGTGTCATTTATAAACCCGCCTCTGTTGGTCACAGCGTCGGGGCTGCTGTGGCTGCTGCTCTGCTTGAGTCTCGCCTGCCTGGTACCTACGGCCGCTGCCCACCCCGGCCCTGTTGTTGCGCGTTGTCGCAGACATGGAAGCGCTATTTCAGCAGCGGTGCAACATCCACTCAGGTGGGCGGGCGCTTGCACAGGCTAAGCTGCAGTGCCGCTGCCTGACAGTTGATTTTGCGGTTGCTGGACCGGCCCTGAGCCAAGTGTGTTATCTCCTTCTTTCCTGCTGCAGAGGAGGGCATCAACTTGGATGCCGTGATGAAGGCAGTGCTGCACCTGGCCAGGAGGCACGAGGTAAGGTTGCTGCCGTGTACTGCTGCAGTCTGCAGTGCTGTATGCTGATTATTGCTGCCCGTGCTGCTGCTGCTGCTCAAGTGCTGGCCGGCGCCTCTCCCCCTCACACACACACAGTGGGCTCACACCACCACCCCACTCCCCCGCAGGTCTCCATTGACAGCAACTATGCCGCTCTGGTGGTGGGCGTGTGCGTGATTGTGGGGTTTGCGACCTCGCTGGACCGCCGCGTCAACCTGATGGACGCCGCTACCCCCTGCTTCCTCTTCTATTCCCTCATCGGACGCGTCTCGGGCCGCCTGTACATGTGACGGCGGCAGGGTCGGCGCCGGTCCTGGCCTGCCAATACCAGGCTCTGCAGCCACAACCCGGGTCCCGCTGGAGTTCACTGCATGGTTGTCGTATACTACGTATGCTACCTGGGCTGCTGCCAGTTTTGAGTTTTGAGCCTGATCATGATTCTCTCCTGCCTTCTCTTTCTTCACTTGCCTCCATTTCATGCACTCCAGCATCACCTTCAGCTTTTCGTTCATGTTGTATGTTTCTCTGTCTGGGTGCGGTCAAGGCGACACGGAGGTGCCACCGGGCTGAGGCGGGCTGGGTGGTGGCGCGGGCTGGATTTTGGTGAGGGAGAGGAGCAGCCACCGCTGGAGGAGGCTGAGGTGGAGAAGGCCTCCTCCACCTGCCCACCGCCACCGGGCCGTCACCACCCTTCGAGCCACGTGAATGAAGGCCCTTCCACTCTCCTGCCGTGCACATTCTGCGTGCTCCATGGATGGGCAGCAATCAGGTCCCAACCCTGCTTCGCCCTCCACCCCCCTGGACCCCAGGCAGCTTGGAACACTGAGCAGGCGCACAGCCGCAGCTAAGCGTGGTGTTACACTGTCTGCCAGCCACAAACTGCAGCAGCGTAGGGCTGAGGCTCATGCCCAGGCTGCGCTTGCGGCATCGCTGCACCTGGGGCCATGCAGGTCAGTCCTCGTCGTCCATGGCCCCACCGGCGCGCGGCTTGGGCCCGCCCGCCATCTTGGCCATGATGATCTGGTCTATCCGCAGCACCGTGACCGCCGCGTCGGTGGCCAGCTTGAGCGCCCACCACTTGGTGCTGCGCAGGTCGTACACGGCGCCCGCCCCCAGGTCGCGTGCCTCGCCTGCGGGAGGAAAGCAGGTGGGAGGAGCGGGGCGGCCAAGGGTTTGTGGCCAGGTGCAGGCACAGGCAAGAGACGGGGGGGCATGGGTCCAAGGCATCAGGCAAGAACGGAAGATGAGAGGCGGGCAGGTAGCCAGCCTGCCACGCCAAACACTAGCTAGGCGACCAGTCAGCGGGCAACCATCGCGGCAGCACGCCTGCCGCCCACCTGTCTCCACGTCCAGCCCAGCGGCCGCCTGCCCGCCCGCATGCGCGCTGTACAGCGCGGCCAGCGCGTCGGTGGCGGAGAGCCCGCTGTTTTCCGCAATGGTGCGGGGCACCACCTCCAGCGCCTCGGCATATTTCATGATGGCATACTGGTCCAGCCCCGTCTCCTGCAGGCACGCACCGGTGGCACACCACATCGGGTCGCAAGCACTCCGGGTGCACCCAGCCCCCGTCCATGCCAGCTTCAGAACCAAGCTGCCACCCGCCGGCCTCGCACGCCCGCACCTTGCGCCCAAACTGCTGCAGCTGGCGGGCAATCTCGATTTCCGTGGCGCCGCCAGCGGGCACCGCGCGCGCGTCCTTGCCCAGCAGCTTGTAGCTGTTGACGCCGTCGTCCACGGCGCGCTCCACATCGTCCAGCATCTGCAATGCGGGCGTCGGCGCAACGTGACGCACGTACATGTGGATGCAGGCAGGCAGGCGGGCAGGTAAGGCAGGCGCAGCGGGCAACGCGAGCAACCCGGGGTGCACAATGCATTCATGCATGCAATGGTGGCCAAGGCGGGCAGGCTAGGCTTGGCACACTCAAGCGGGGAGCGGCCTGCACCTGGTCGGTGCTGCCGCGTAGCACCACCGTGCTGATGTTGCCTAGGCTGCTGTCCTGCTGCAGCACGATGCACTTGGTGCCCCCAATCTCCTGCTCCACCAGCTGCTTGGCAAAGCCCAGCTCGTCGGCCTGCGGCGCCTGCAGCTTGACCAGCGCCTTGGCACCTGCAGCACAGGTGCCGGGCCAGGCAGGGAAGCCGCGGGGGGGGCTTGGGGAGGTCAGCATGCTGGGTGTTATCCTTCTTGCTCTCCACAGCAGCACACCGCCACAGCAGCAGAGCGCCAGCAACCCAAGCTCGCCGACTCCTTGCCTGCCCACCATCCCCGGCCCCCTGCCCCCGCATGCAGCCCAGGCCGGCGCGATCGCACCTGTCGCGCGGCAGAAGCGGCGCAGGTCAAACTTGGATGGGATCTTGACGGCCATCACGCCGTACTTCTCCAGGAAGTGCAGCGCCATCTCGCCAAACGCCTGGTGACCCACCACCACCTTGACCCCCGCATCTGCGCGGCGGCAGCAGGGCGGCATGGCGGGCAGGCGTCGAAGCGCAGCAGGAGCAAGGGTGCCGCACGCCCAGGCAGCAAGGCAGATGCCGCGACACGAATCCCTGGCAGGCAGAGACAAGCAGAGTGCGCTTGCTCGATGAGGGCTAGCTCAGCGGGGTGCAGGCGCAGTACGGGCGCCGCACCCGCAATGCTCTTGATGATCTCCTCAATCCGGTTCTCCTCGCTGCGGCTGTAGCCCTCCAGCTCCTCTGCGCTGCGGATAAGCACCGTGCCCTGCAGCCGCCGGCCCGTGCAAAACACAGGTCAGCAACGAGCGATGGCAAGCCAGGAGCAGCAGCACCACCTCCCTTCTCCACGCGTGGCCACAAAGCCCATCCTGCGGCCCGCCCCACCTTGGTCTCTGTGCTGCTGGTGTCCACGCCCTGTGCGTACACCGCCACCTTGCCATCCGCCACGCGGCTGATGCTGCCCTCCACGCCGCGCTTCAGCACCATGCCCTTCACCACGTGGCTGTCGTGGAGCCCGCCGCCTGCGGGGACCCAACAGGAGCGGGGATTGGACACCTGATGAGGCACCAACACGCAGTCGGGGGTTGGCTCCACGACACATCCCAGGTGCACTGAGCCAGGTGGAAGCCGCGCCGCAGACAGCGGGAATTGCCTCGCAGCATGCAGGCAGCACTGCCCCGCCGCGTTTGCCTGCTGGCCACCGCTCACCGTTGATCTTCACCACCCTTACGTTGTCCACATTGAAGTTGTGAGGGTTCTTGGGCACCACATCGATGCAGGCCTCTGTGGAGGGGGGTGCAGGCGAGCCAGGAGAGGGACAGCGGCTCAGCGCCAGGCAGGCAACCACCGCAGCGGCTCTGCCAGCTGCTGGCAGAGCTGGCACGGCCCTGCTGGTACAGAGCATCTCCTGACAGCTATCACGTGCAGCGTGCCCTGCTGCCTGTGACTGCACAGTGGCCCCCACCTGCGATGATGGGCGCCAGCAGGTCCTCATACCCATACTGCTTGCTGCTGACGGAGCCCTTGATGCGCTGCGCCACCGCTGCCGCATCCCGCACATCCAGCGTGTCTGCAGCGGCAGGCCAGCACGGCCGTTCAGCAGGATGAGCAGGCTGAAGAGGCCAGCGGCCATGCGGGGCAGGCACAGAGCTGCCATCCCCTCCCCATCCTCCTTGAAGCGCTGCCCCTATCCATGCTGCCCTCCAATGGCGATGCTCAGCCGGCAGTGCGGTGCAGCGCGCCCCGCCCCCGCGCACCCGTGCCTGCCACCACCAGCGTGTCCAGTATCTCCAGCGCCTTGGCTCCCGCCTTGGCGTAGCCATCTGCAATCTCGGTGGGGTGCAGCCCGTCGCGCAGCAGCGGCTCCGCGTTGGCCAGCAGCTCCCCCGCAAACGACAGCACCTGCGCGCCAGCGGCAGCGCGGGCGTCAGCGGGTAGGCAGGGGGCCCCGGGCGTGCTGGTCACAGGGCGGCCCCACACAACGCTTGGCCACAGCCGTGGCAACCATGTGGTGGCTGGCAGGTGACGCGCGTCGCATTGCCAGCAGGCTGGAGCTATGCCGCTTGCCACCCCACAATAGCAGCGCCTTGGCAATGGTCCCCCTGCCACAAGCGCGGCCCCTGCCCGCTGCGCGCGCACCATGTTGGTGCCGTCGCCAATCTCCTGCTGCTGCGCCTGCGCCGCCATCACCAGCAGCTTGGCCGCCGGGTGCTGCACCTCGAGCTCCGCGGTGATGGTGGACGCGTCGCTGGTCACAAACAGCTTCTCCAGGTGGTTGATCACCATCTTGTTCATGCCTGCGCCGCAGGCCAGGGCGCGGGAGGGGCGCCGCAGGGTTCAGTGCGCCCGCCCGGCCGTGCGCCACACGCCGCCACACACCCGCCGCCGCCGCCGTCACGCCCGCTGCGCGCGCTCATCCACCGGCTGGTGGCACCCTCACCGTTTGGCCCCATCGAGGTGCGCGTGATCTGCGCCAGCTGCTTGCAGGCCTCGATGTTCTTCAGCACCGCCTCCTCCAGCCCCGACAGGTGCTTGTGCCCCTCCTTGAGCATGGACTGCGCGGCGTGCAGGGTTCCGGGATGCAATCAGGGTGCAGCCGGCCCGGGAGGCCAAGCAGTGGGCACCCATCCGAACCATGTCCCCCATGGCCTTCCCCGAGCGCACCTGGAGGCCATACGGCATCCCCATCGCCATGGTGGCCGCTGCTACCGTGCCGATCACTTGGCTGCGACACCCAATCAGGCCAAAACTGGTTTGACTTGTGACGATCGGGGCGCTGGGGGCTGGCAGGGGCGGAAGCAGGGACTCGGAGCGCCAATTGATAGGCGGCGGGAGCAATGGCAAATCGGAAACCCGCATCTCCCGTTCTACCCCGGCAGGCACTTTTGGGGTGCAGCAAAGGCTGACATGAGCCGTCCCCTCAGCGCTTGCTCTATTCTTCGCCAGGCCCCGTGCCTCTCGCCTCATCTTCATTCACCTTTGCCTTCTTCTACTCCTCACTCCCCGCACCGGCAACCTCCTACACCCGCCCCATCCTCATCTCGGCCCCTGCAGCCCTCCCCGCCCCACACACCAGCCCTGAAAGGTGCGTTCTTGAGTCTGGCGGGCGCCAGGCGGCGCCCCCGGGGTGCTCAGTGCAACTGGCGCTGCCGGCCCTCGGCCCCCTCCGTCATGGCAGCCACGCGTTTGCAAGCACCCACCCTGGCTATGCCGGTCGCCCATGCTCCGGCGCGGGGTTGCGGCAGCAGCAGGGGGCCTTTGGGCTCCGCCCCGACGTCTGTCCTTTTTTGCGACCCTGCGGCTAT